ATATATATATGTATCATTTTAGTGAATTTTCTGTACAATTTATGCACTATATAGATGTTCTTTATAATTTGATCACATTCATTTATAGTATATATTATGCATTTGATTATTCATCCTCTGGCATTCTCGTGCTTTGAGAAGGAAAACCTGTTTGATTGGATCAAATCATTTTAAAACTACTCGTTGATCAAAACTTGTATTTTGTTTTTTATTTAGATTTTTTACCATTTAATACACTTGTGGCCTGAGGTTTGGACTCAGCGTCGAGGTTTTAGAAGGGACACTTTAGTCCTTGACGTTTTAAAAATAGTTTATAGATGGGTCCTGAGCTTATTTTGATTGTTAGTTGACGGAAAAGATAAAGTGGTCGACCCATTTGATAACGTTTCTATTTTCAATTTTTAATTTTATTAAGAAATCACAACCATTCATGTTTCTTATTTTTCATTTTTTTAGAAATGTTCTCAAAATTGTATTGAAATTTTGAAAACAACAAAAACAAGTTTGTTGTTTCTTGTTCATGTTTCTAATTGTTTCAACATAAATAAAGATTTTGTTTTATCATCTTTGAATCCATGAGTCTTTGCTCATGCAATATTATCTTTCTTTATTAAAAATGAAAAAACATGTACAAGAAACAAGAACGTTACAAAGTTGTTCTCAAATTTAAAACGACTTCGTTTTGAATCTATCTAGAATGAAGGAGATCTTTTGTTCCAAATTTGTCCGGAATGAAGGAATGTCTGATTGGAATGAAGGAGGTCCTTTGTTCCAAATAAACATATATGGTCTAGAAGTTCTAGATTGGAAGATTGAAGCTTTTGATCTTTAGTTCTTTCTTTCGTCATTCTTCTTTATTGGCAAATTGAACGAAAGATGCCAATTCACAGCTAACGACATACAATCAATTGATACATCATCATTTTTATTAGTCAACTAACCGTCAAATAAATAAACACAAGTTGAAATCGTGAATCTAAAATTTTTTAAGAAGAAATGAGAAGGAAAAGAAACAAAAGAAAACGCTGTCCACACTTCACCAGCCTGCTTTTTTTTTTCCCTCTTTTTTGAGTTTGCTTCACCAGAAATGTTAGGCAACATCAACATGAAGTAGAGGTTGACTTCTAAACCAATAAATAAATAAATAATGAAATGTCATTTTTCAAGACTTTCTTGAATTTTAGCCCTTTGAAAGTTCTTAATTAGCATTTTTATTTTTCATATCCAATTTTTAAAAACGTACATTTTGGTAATTGTATTTGTTGATGTTGGTTTTTGCCAGGTGTCAGAAGTCGACAAGAACTGTACTTATATGAGCTGTGGATGAGTGAGCTATGCCGAGAGAGACTTGCAAAAACAGGAAGAGCCCTTCAAAACTCAAGTTAGTATGAGTTCGAACGGGATAGATTAACTTCAAACAAAATTGCATGCTTAATCGAGCAAAGTGAGAATGTGCGATGGTGTTTTTTTAGCAAGTTAGTGGAAAACTTTTCGTCGTGAGTCTAGACCACTGAGCTCGATCCACGTGGTTTCAGGGGTCCCGCCTCTCAACAGTACTCGTGTCTTATTAATATTGTAAATAAATTTTGAGAAGGAAAAAAAAGAAAACCCACTTTTCAACATTTGTTGTTTATTTTTCCTTTAAAAAAAAATAAATATATCTAGTAATTGTTTGTTGTTTCTTATTTTATTAAAAAAAATTTATCAAATATGTATAGAAATTTAAAAAACAAATATAGGGCCAATTTTAGTAACATTTTTATTTAATTTCTTTATTTGTTACTTATTTTAGGCTAAATATATATTTTAGTTTTTTTTTTCAATTTCTTCCCTTATATCTTAACATTTTTTTAACTTAATTATTCCTACTAATAAAGTTTACTAATGATGTATTTATCTAACATGATACTTAGAAAGTTGACAAAAATTCAGAGAATGAATTGTGTCCAATAAGATAAGCAAATTCAAAACTTCAACAATTTAGAAATTTAGAGGCCAACTTAATTTCCCATCTAAATTTCTATCAACAGTAAATAATCATGTCATCATGTCATGTAAGTTTATCACGAGTCAATTTTAACATTGACCAAGCGGAAGAGATATAATTGCAAATGTTAAAATATAAAAGACTAAATTATAACTTTTAAAACAATAGGGACTATAAAAAAAGGAACACTCAAATATTAGAGACTAGAGCACGTACTTAGCTACATTTTGTAGGTAAACAAGGAATTGAAGTTCGTGTCGGACATTTTCATCAACATCTACTTGAATTCCACTCTATCAAAGTCTAAGTCCTTATGCGCTGGTCGTTACTAGAAGATGATAAAGATGAATCACTAACATGAGCTTAGTTCAGTGGTAATTAAAACCTATTTCTGAACAAGATGTCATGAATTCAAATCCCCACCTCCATTTATTATACTCAAAAAAATTAAAAATAAAAATATAATGAATGAATCGATATTTCCATAGTTTCTCAAAAATCAACAAAATTAATATATATATATATAGACATAATACTAATATTAAAAATTAACTTATTTAAAATTTGTAAAATGGTTATTTGTTAATTTTGATATTTCTAGCTATCACATCAATATTTTGTGGATATTTCAATAGACGTTTACATAAAATCTAAACTTCAGCATTTCTATTGATATTGACATTTAAAATCTTAGATGTAAAAGTAGTCCTTTTTAAAATTTTATTTTTTTAAGAAGCGAGAAATTGACCAAAATATAGCTCAATATATTGGTACATAATTGATTGAGTTATATGTTGCTATAGGTTTGAAATCTTCTCTTCATTTATAACACATTATTGTCATTAAAAAAAACAGCAACTAGAAACTATACAATTATTAGTAGAATTTTATTAAAAAAAAATTATTAGTAGGAGAGAGAGAGGAAGAGAGAGAGAATTAGGGTTTTTTTTTCCATTGAAGGAAAGAGAGAATTGTCCAAAACAGCTGTGAAGAAAAAGACAGGGATTCATACTTCATGGGCCCACCCCACACCCAACCGACAACCTAATTCCTATTTACTTTTTCTCTTCAATTTAAATTATTTCATGTGTGTTATTCTTATAATAATCCATTTAAATACTATTTTTTGTTCGTATGGTTTCGAGTTTAGTTCATTTCATTTTAATTTACGTAATTCAACACAATTGAGAAGTATAGGGTATGGCGTACACCGCTCTCCAGTCTTTCCACTCCTCGATCCTATCTAGTATGTTCTTCCGAATCAATAACATAACTGCAATCAGCCTCACTAACGAGTTTGCAATTTATGTCATCTTGTTCTTGTCTCCGTCCCTTCATTTTTATTTTTATCTTATTTATTTCAATCATAATTTAAGTACGACACTTTATTCACTAAATTCTTTGAAATATAACCATAAATTTGTATTAAATAATTTCTATTGTATATAAGATTTATATTAAATTTTTTAAAATATGACATTTTAGTTCAGAACCCAAACTAATCCAAAACTAAACGTACTGAAATCAAAATAATATTTAAACCATCCATAATTTATATTCCAAACAACCATTCACATTATTAAACAAGTTTTAGAGTTAAAACCTATAATAATCTCTTAATACCTTCCAAAAGATTCTCTTAATTATATATATATTGTTAGTGATTTCCATAAATTATTTAAGAATTTTGGTTGGTTGAAATGAAGGGAAAGTATTGGGAAAGGGAAGAACATCCATGAAAAGGAAAGAGAAAGCAAGAGACAGACAGACAGACAGAACAAGTCTTTACACATATATTTTCAATGCATACATTGGGAGAGAATCAAACATGCATAAATAATTAAAGAAAAATATTAACCCAAAAAATGAAACCCAAAAATAAAAAATAAAAAAGATATGTAATTACAGTGTATTCCTAACAAAAGGAAAAAAAAAATTACTCAAATTATCCTCTGCGGATTTTCTCGAGAAAATTTCTGCATTTTCTTGCTCCCCAATCACCTTCCCAGTCCTCTAAGCTTTACACACAGCCCCATTTTACAGCTGCATCACAGATGGAAAGATTATCAATTCACTTAAAACTCATCAAAGATTCATAAAGAAGCCTTTTTTCTCTCTTTTTCAAATAACGTTGATTTTGATCCTTGTATTCTCAATTTCTGTTTCTTTTGAAGCGTTCGTTCGATTCTCTGTACTCTTTAGAAGTGACCATTTTGAACCGTTAATAACTTTGTATCAAAGGATTTTCGTAGGGTAAAGAATTGGTTAAATTACAGACATTAAAACAACAAAAGTTGAAAGGAATGGGATCAAAATGAATCAAAATGACGGAAATAGTATTTTAAATCTTTTTTATTACCTTTACATTAAGTCAAAAATATTGTATTTTTTAATATATATATAAAGAAGAACAAAGAAGCATGAAATTGGAAGGATTAGAACTTACCACTTGTGTAAATGATTATCAATTTGACTTTATTTTTCTTGTTTTGGGTGTGAAGTTGAGAGCTTTATTTTTCATTGGCATGAAGAGAAATGAAAGTCTTGTCCAAAGGCACCAAGCATACTACATGTGAGTTCCATCAGCTTCCCTGCAATTGGTAAAAAAAAACGCTCAGACTCCATCGATATCAACGGTAAAATCGATCCCGTTGATTGATTCACCTGAATTCTCGATCATATTCAGACAACTGTTCAAGTTGAGGGGAAGAGGGAAGAATAAAAATGAATTCAATAATCATTTGGGGAAAGAAAAACAGAACAATATATACCACATACAGGCTGTTTCAAAGCAAAGCAACCAACAAAATTTGGGTGGTGGGGAAAGGAGAGAATGTGGACTCTCTCAAACTTATTAGTGGGGTTTGGAATGTCATGACAAAAGGCCAACTAAACCAAAAACAATTCAAATAATTAAACGACGCCACCTCGTCAACCCGATCATAGTTTAACTGGTTAAAGCATATATACTCGACCAAAAGAAGTTCGAATCCCCACATGTTGAAGTCTTTAGTATGTAGCGTAACATGTAGGGTTTCATAATCATGAGACAATATCTAATCACCTTGAGTTGGCCTATTGGACGGTCTAAACCATAGGAGTCACATACCTAGAATTCAATATTATACGACTTCTTCAGTGGATTGAACTGTTGAACTGTAGCCACCATAGTTTAAACTCAGGATGGGAAAATCAGCTTTTCCGAACAAAGTTAGTGATGGCAGTTGATCCTATATATGAATCTAAGCAACAAAATTCCACTTCACACACTTGACCAAAACATTGAATTCATGAACAAGTTCATCATCTTAGCACCAATATCTTCAGCAGAGACTCAATAATCAAATTCAACAAATGAACTCTACAGAAAGAAAGTACCTCTTCTGGGTTTAGTGGCAACTTTAAGAGCTGGATTTGATTTCTTCTCAGCTTTCTCCTCCTCCAATGGAAACAGAACCCCATCAATCCCCTGCACAGAAATCCGGCCATCTGTGTATATATCAGGGTCGAACAGATAAGCCGAGCCTTCGCCTTGCCCGAATTTCACCGACCCATCAGCCTCCTGTGCCACCATGGCGTGGGGCAGCCGGAGGGTCTGGTACCGGACCTTCCCGAACCGCCTCACGGCATTGTACATGCTCTCCTCCGTCTGATACTCTGGAATCACGTGGTAGTATATGATCTGCTCGGGCGCCCCCGGTTCGCTCAGCTGCTCCGTCGTCAGCTTCGCCATAGCCTCGTCATTCGGGGCTAATACTGTAAGGACATACCCTTCGGAGACTAATCGCCCCATTTCTGTGGCGAGGGAGGTGAGATTGACCAGAATGTCGGCCATCTCGTTGTAGCCACCGTAATGTAGCAGCGTTTGGATGAAATCCTTCACCTGACGCTCGCCGTCGAAGTGGTGGTGGGGTCCTCCGGGGCCCGGCGCAGGCGCCGGAGCGATGGAAGGGCCGGGGGCTAAGGCGTCATATATTGGAAGAACAGGCGGGGCACCGACGGATACGGGTGGCGCCGGCTTCTTCAACCGGTGGGTTCGTGGGTCGACTTCCGGCGCACCTTCCGGCAGGACGGCGGAAATCGCCTGCAGATTTCTCCGGCGGTTGAAATCTTCTTGCACGGAGCGGGGAATCAATAGCCGTTCGATCCCGTGGATGACTCCGTCGGGGCGAACGACGTCGTCGGGACGAACAACCTCCGCCGAACCAACAATTTTCCTGCCGGCATCCGAATTCCTCAAATCCACATGGACGTCCCCCAATGTCCGGTGGCGAAGCGGCGACGAACTCCCCTCCGGCCACTCAACGGACCCGATCCTACGAGGAACGATATGCGACATCAAAAGCGTCTGAAGCGATTTCAAATTCCTGGGCTCGAGCAAGAACCTCTTGAACTCAGGGTCCAACTCGCGCTCCAGGGCCTCGTTCCTGGGAGCGAAAATGGTGAGATTATGCTTCCCAACGGCGTCTTCAAGAGTCTGGAGCAGAAGCGCTTTCTCAACGAGCTCCGCAAGCTCAGTGTAGTGGGAATCGAGAAGGGCGACGAGGATAGAGTTGGAATTGATTTGGGATGCGGCGGCGGCGGAGGAGGAGGAAGATTTCGGAAGTGGGTTGTGGCGGAATGCGGCGGAGGAGAGGGAAAGGGAAAGTAGAAGAAGGGGGAAGAGGAGGGAGACGCCATTGGAGAGGGAATCCATGGCGGTCTCACACTCAGAGGAAATGGAAATGGAAATGGAAATGGAGGGAGAGAAGAGAGCGGGAAATATTGAGGAGAGCAGCGTCGGTGTCGGTGAGAGAGTAATAATGGAGGGAGGAGAGAGAGAGGGGGGGTGGGGTTGGGGTTGGGGGGTAGGAGGAAGAAGACGACTTTTTTAGGGCACAGAATTGAGAATTTGGGAATTTTTAGAAATTGAGAAATTGAGACTTGTGAGTGACTGAGAACAGGCTGTTCGTGGGGACCACACGGCAGCGACATTTGGCACGCACCGCCCCCTCACCTTAGACACCGACGAATCGGAAGTCGGATTACGGTGGTAACCTAAGTGTTACCATGATCATTCAAGTCGAAATAGAGTATGGATGTGGTTGAAGCTGACGAGATTAAATTTATAAACTATTCTGGGTGGTTAATTGATTAAAAGGAGATTAATTTTGCTTCAGACACTCCCAAATAAAAATTAGAAAAAAAAAACTTGTAATTTAACCCAAATGTTTAATAATTTGATAATTGTGTGTAGTTTCTTTATCATATTACATTTACAAATATAAAGATGTGAAGAAAAAGCCTAAATAATAATCACCAATTAGATCTATTTCTCAATACTAATTAGGATTAAGATATAATCATATAAATATGATAAAAAAAAATTAGGACTTTCTATATAGTTCCATTAGTCTATTTCTAGTTCATTTAATTCATAAGTGGATCATTAAAAATACATTACACAGAAAGTCAATAGCAAACCTAGAATACAAATGTAAAAATTCTAGAGATATTTCCACCTCATATATACTAAAAATAATTATAATAACTAATTTTTTTCTCGTCGGTCCGAACATAACTCAACTGGATAACACACCTGCTCCTGATTAAAAGTGTGTGAATTCGAATATCCACCCCACAAATTGTGTTCAATTTTTTCTCGCTCAATTGTCAAAGGATGTTATTTCACATAAATTTTAAGAAAATGGCATCTACCTTCCATTAACACTAAATAAAAAAATATGTTAGCAGAAAAAAAAACTAAATAAAAAATATAATTGAAACCTTTTAAAATTCATGTATTAATAGTATGCCCAAGGTTCAAATTACATAGATAAAATGTATAATTTAACATATAAAATAATCTCTAGAGAAAAATTTGTCTAGAAGTAATTATAAATTGAACAGAGTCATAAAATGAATTTCATGAAATTTTCAGAAAAGTGCAACATCAAGTCCAATAATTTTTTTCTTTCAAATATAAAAAATGTGAAGAAGATATTAAAAGTGTGACAAATATTTTTAAAAATAGGCATATGTTACCAATAATGACAATCTATAATTTACTATGGACGCATTAAATTCCCATCTACATTCATGTGGACAACGACATTTAATTCTTTAAAAACAATCTCGATTTGTTTTGATTTTTTGCTTCTTTTTTTCATTGTGCATTAATTAAAAACAATGATAAGAAACTAAATCAATAAATAATATTCTAATTTTTAAAAATAATAAAATTATAATTTAGCCCCTAAACTTATAGAATTTATCTAATAAATTCTTTATATCAAAAGTTTAACCATACACTAGATTAAATATCGTTGGTATATTTAAAAAAAAATCAAATAAGTCTCTAAACTTTTAAGTTTATTTTTATTTAGCTATTGATTTTTTAAAAATAGTTTAATAATCAAAGGACTTATTTAAACTAATAAAATTGAAAATTCGAACACTTTATGAAAATTATCTAAATACTCTTTTAACACTTATTATATATAAATTGAACACTTACTTTATATATATATTGAAAATTGTAAGTTCCTAATACTTCTTAAACTTTTTAATTTTCATGTCGGAAAAAAAAGTTAAAAATTTTTAATTTTATATTTAATAAGTTTCTAAAGCTTCATTTCTACCTAATAAGTCTTTCAATTTAGTATTTAATTAGTGCATAAATATAAAAGTTTAAAGCCTAAATTGTAATTTAAGAAAAATAAAAATAAAATTAAGAGAGAGAGAGAGAGCCGACAGAAAGAGCACGTGGGAAGAAGGTGGATTAAATTAAAAGGGAACTGTCGGTGACTTTCATTCCACGCCAACTGACGCGTGTCTTTCAAGCGCCTTAAAGCGCGTGAGTGGAGAAATTAAATTAAATTATTTATTTGTTTGTTTGTTNTTTTTTTTTTTGGTTATAATAATTTACTCTTTGCTTCAGTTTAATTTCTATATTTTTAAAATTTCGATTTACTTTATAAGTTGTTTCTAAATCTTTTTCTACCCACCTGAAAATTAATATTATTTTTATTAAAATGTAAACTTCAATACATTTAGTCAAAATTTTTTCATTTCTATGTATGTGGAAAATATGTTATGTATATATGTGTAACAGTTTTTAAGGATTGCGACGATTTTGTAAGATTTGACCAACCCATTAAGAACTAAGTTTATTTAATTTATATTTAATTATTTTAAATTAGGCTCAAACTAGATGGACAATATTAGTAATTTACCATTTTTTTTTAATTTATATTTGATTGCTTCTTGTCTTCTTTAGGTTTTGTATTAAGATAATTAGTGTGATTTACAAAAATAATTAATATGGTACATTAATTCCTTCGTTCTAAAAAAATCACGGATTTGGTTGTTTGGATATTTTTTTCTACTAATTTGATCTTATGAATTGAGAATTTTCCTTATTGGATTTTAGGTATTTATATGATTTGCATTTTTTTTTTAGTATTACAATTCAGGTAGGGTGAAAAGTAGGAATTTCAGCATTTAACATGTGAGAAAGATTACTGATAATTTGATGCATTAAACTATGTTTAGTTGAATATGGGTATTTTGTTAGTTGGTTTTTTATTATTTCTTTTTATGATTTATGGGTTTGTTTTTGCCTCTTACTCTAAAAAAGTGAATATTTTAGTTTCTATTTGTATTCAATGTTAAAAAATTTAGTGAAATGAAAATAAAAATGAAATGACTAAAATGGTCACTTTTTTAAAATAGATTTTTTTAAAGTACTGTGTCTAAATGAAAAGTTAAAAGTCTAAAAATCAAAATAGAATGAACCAAAATAGTACTTAAATCTATATTTTCAATCTAAATTATAATTTTAAAATGGGTTGCTTGTGATTTGTGGATGGGTAAAATAGTAATTTGGTTGTTGAAATTTAAATAAAAATAAAAAATAAAAACCCTTTTTGTCAAAGGAATGGCTTGGTGTGGTATGTGGTGTGGCAATAAAATTTCTCCCAAAATCATTTTTTTTCATCCCTAATATTTTTTTAAGCTATAATTTCATCCATGTTTCAAAAAAATTCAACCAAATCTCGGTAAGAATTTATAAATTAAAATTGTTGATCATTAACCTAACATTTAAAGAATATTATTTTTTTCGAAGGGACGCTTTACCCTATTTTAAAACTTGAATTAACTCTCCTCAAATTTAAAAATAGTGGAGTTGAATATGACATTATAAAAAAATAAATTTATTTCTTACCAATTCAAAAGAAGATTTTCTCGATAAGATGTCTATAGAAACACTTTAATTGTCACATTATTCATTATGTTTTTAATGAGATTTTTTTTTTTATTTTCACTTGAAATATGATGTATGCTTTTAAAAACATGATATATTTGGCCTAAATGATAATATGATGTGCCATTAGATCTTCTAAAAAATAATTGATGTGCCATTAGTTTAATCATAATTAATTACCTATGCATATTTTAAAATTTTTTAATGAAAATTTGAAGATATTTGTCTAGAAACTAAGTTTTTTTTTTTCAGAAATAACTTAAAAACTAAGTTATCCCTTTAGAATGTATTAATAAAACTTTATAATATAATTTTTAATTACTAAGATAAAATTAAATGTTACGTTGAAGTCTTGGTACAATTTCTTTTTTACATATTAGTAAATCAAAATTAATCTTACCTTCTTCTATTGATTTTTAAATTATCAATTTAATTTGTATAATTTGAGTTTAATTTCAATTTGGTCTTGATGACAGATCAAATTTCACAAACCATCTTTGCCCTTACGACGCCCTTGCCATATAGACAATTTTTTTTACGTAACAATCCTCTATTTGAGTAATTATACTAGTTGATTGGTATTAAGCTCTATGACTAAGTAAAAGATAAAAGAAAATATGTTTTTAAGAGGATGGGCTCATGAGATTTAACTAGACAACTAAACTAAAACTAAGTTCAAACTATAGTGACCGAATTAAACTTTTTAAAACTATATAGACCAAATTGAAACTTTGTTAGATCTCAAATTTATAATTTAACCAAAAATTAACATTGGAGTATTATGGGCCAGTTTGGTAACATTATTCTTTCTTGTTCTTTTATAAGCATAAACGTTTGATGTAATCGTTCATGTTTCTCATTTCTCATTTTTTAGAAACGTCAACAAAATCAAGTGTCTCTTTTCTTGTTCCTATTTCCAATTTCTAATTTTTTTCCAAAACGTTAAAATATATATATATACACATACATACTAAATGTACATAAAAGGAAAAAAAAAGTGGAATAAAGCCAAGTAAATGCCTTTTAAGCCATTACTAAAGGGAAAAAAATTATCATAAATCATAAAGTTACGAAAATACCCACATACTCAAACTAATACAAACCAACCAATAAATTATCCTTAACCTAATCTAATGAAGAAATACCTAAAACCCATATATAAAAATTGGGTGCTTCCAAAAGTAACCTAAAAAAAATTAATAGGGATTTATAAAAGTAGCTAAAAATAACAAAATTTGGAGACTATCTCACACGTTCACAACGATATACTTGATATATATACATGTATATACCTGATTTGATATATCGTTGATCTAAAAAAAAATATAGAAAGGTAAAATTGAAAATCAAATTTCAAATATTTTGTCATAACATTTTAGGACTTGTATTCCAAATTTTATTTATTGTTTTCAAATTCGTTTGATAGATTTATTTTATTAAACTATTTTTTTAATTCTGTAATCCAAATGCTAAAAATTTTGAAAATAACATTTATACATTTTGAAAATAACATTTATATATTTTCAATATTTTAATACAAAATTACATAAAAAGATATAAAAATTTGACAATATACTCTTTTATGTTATAAACTTATTTCATTATTAAAATTAAAATAATAATATATAATATTATTATAAATTATATAATATCATAAAATAATAATTATACAAAGTTTGTAAGATATTTGTTAATAAACTAATTAATTTTTTAGAACAACTAATTAATAATATTTATTTAGTTGGTAGCTATCACTAATTTACAAATATATTATAAAACACAACAATATTATAAATTGAAATTCAATTTTCAAATCTGCTGTGTGTTCTTTCGAACATGGAATGCATATTTTTTTTTTTCATTGAATCACTTGTTTTCAAATTTCAAATCACCAACTAAACATATCCTTGGTACCCGTAACAAAATTCCTACAAAAATGCTCAAATACAACCATAAAATTGAAATTGAGCACCTAAAAAAACAAAATGCCAAAAACCAATAAAATTAAATATCCAACCCAAAGAAAACCCCCCACAAAAAACAATCTTTTCCAATCACAAGAATATTCACATCCAGACACAAATCTCCAAAAGGAAGAGATATTATTATTTACCACAAACAATAGCCATAATAGAAATGGGCAGAAGAACAAAACAGCATAGAAATATAAGAAAACTCATAAAAAAGAGTGTTGGTTTTTAACACTTTTTTTATATCAACATGCAAAAGAAAAATGAGTTCCTTCCAAAAGGCCAACCATCCAGACATGGTTTCAATATATAATATGTATGCTGTTTGCATAATCAAATACTGTATTTTATGTATGGAAAAAGGAAAAAGAAAAATTACATACAAGATGTCCAGATGGGAAAGCGCTTCTCCCAAACTCCCTCCCCTCCTCTCCTCCCCCCTCTTTCTTTCTTTCTTCCTTATTGGGTTTTTTCAGTTTCAGACAACAATCAACAACAGTACTCTCTACACATGCAAATTCTTCAGCCATTTTCTTTTTGTCTGCAAACGCCGCATCTGTTCCTCAGCATATCACGTCTGGAGAATTAAGAATATATAGTTTACCTGATAATTCATCATCAAAGTGGGGAAGGATACACTCATAAGAATGAAGCAGAAACACAAGAGGCAATGCTATAATCAATCAGAAGAAGTCACTAATTAAACCCCTTATAAGTATACGTTCTTTGTCTATTCGGGCTATGTGTTACCTTACGCAGGTGTCTCGGAGGATTTAGATCATTTCACGTATCCAATATGAGACAGTTCTTTTTCTTTGCTCCTTTTCTTTTCTTTATGGAGTCTTTTGGTGTTTGTCTGGTGCGTGTAATAGATCTTGTTGTCCTATCTATCGTTTCGAGACATGGGACGGATTCTTTGGCACGTAACTTCCTCCACTACTTTGGAGTCTTTTGGTGCTTGTCTGGTGCATAATAGATCTTGTTGTTCTATCCGTCATTTCAAGTCATGGGAGGGATTATTTGGCGTGTAACTTTCTCTACTACTTTGGCGTTTGTCTGGTGTGTAATAGATCTTGTTGTTCTATCCATCATCCTTTGGCATGTAACTCTCTACTACTTTGTGGAACTGGAGGTTTAGGTTATAGCTAGGTTTTAACTTTCATTTCACACCTCCCTATGAATTTCAATATCTAGGAATTTTTGTTCCTACCTTGATCTTTTAATCTTATAGATAAAAACTGGAGACCTTTTCTATAATTTTAGGTTGTCTCCTTTGTATAGCTCCTTCTATAGTGGGCTTTTACCCTTTTTTTCCCTTCCTGTCCCTTTGAATTCTTTCATTGTGTCAGTGAAAGTTTGACTTTCTCATTAATAACAATAATAATAATAATAATAAACTCAATACTAGATCAAATCTCAATGCATATCTGCAAACTCTCTCAGCAGAATCTCTAGTCTCTACACACACACTGCATTGTCATTAAACTCCCCATTTTCACTATTCCCTAAACAACCAACATTTTGTAACTAAATTAGTCCCTTAATTCTCTTCTGTCACCAATCAGAAATTGTCTGTCTAAGAAGATTACCACCTACTGAAAGCCTACAATCTCAACAGGTGGCCCACAAGAAGTTTTCCTGTCACAGCCTCTTAGTTGTCCAACAATTCCATGTGACAATACATAAATCCTTGCTTTAAGGATCTTGGTCTCATAATCCCCTATAATATTCATTATTATGTCTGAGACTGCTCTACAGTACAAACTCTAACCTGATATAAATGTATATTTGTACATGCATACATCATACATATATACGTGCGTGTGCGCGTGTTATAGAACCCAACATGGGTAAATGGTTCTTTCACACTTGGTAATCGTAAGATGGGTGAACTCTTACTGAATCTCTGACCTCTCTGAACCTTCACTCATCTCTCAATCATGACCACATATAATCTCTCTCATCAGCTCTCACCAGTCTTTGACTCCAAACTCTCTTACCATCTATCCCTCTCTTTGGTGTCAAATCGAAAGAGGAACAGTAACCAAATTAATTTTCAACCCACAAAAGGGAAGAATGAAACATTTCTGGAGATGTGGTAGTCATACACCTTGGATTAACAAATCTAAACTTACTGTTCTTGTTTCAATCTCATATTTTTAATAGAACTTAGGAATTCAAAATGAGTGAAGGCAACTTTACTTTTGGTCTATCGTCTGAACTTTTGTGTTTGATCTAAATTGATGTGGAAACTATGAGATCAAGGTCGACAAAGCCAAAGGAACCCAAGTTTAGACTTCATAATTTGCATGAACTTCACTTTAGATTTAAATAATCATTTTAAATTGTTTTCTACTATGACGACTATACTTGATCTAACCCTATATTGTGTAATGTTAAGAAAACAAATCATAATATAAATATTGAAAATTTGATTAAAACTACAAAATAATGTAACCATATAGAAATCAACTAAATGGATAATAACAGATGTACATGAATGATGAACCAATAAGATGTAGTTAAAAATAACTCTGTCAATATATATTTTTGAGTTTGACACATCATCACAAGCTATTCAATCCATTAGACAACTTCATCTTCTAATGAAAGATTGATGTGATTTAGAATATAAATCAACAAGAGAAGGTAAGAGTCCGAGTCCAGCCTATGTAACCTTGAGTGTAAGCTCTTATTGTTAGTTAAAAGTTACTAATCAATATCGTCAAACAAAGATTTATACATTTATATATCTATAATGAGGACAGGATATTGAATGAAATTCTGCCATGTCTCCATCATTTCATCAGATTCTACGATTTCATGATGTAACAAAATATGTATGCTAATTCAGCTTTCCCCCAACAAAATAAAGGGCTTTCCATGCGACCAATCTCCTTTCACTTTGGAAGAGAGATTAAAGAGACTTTTATAGTTCTGAAGGAGGCAAGGCTACCTGCTGTCATTCTTTGAAGAGGGTTGGGAGGTTAATAAGGGAAATTTGCTCAATATGTTTAATGATTTCAATGAAAGGGGCATTGACCAGACATGACCTTGAATGAGTCTAATATTGGCTGCTTCACGAAAAGCAAAACACTCTAGGGTGAAGGATCTTAGTTGGGAGACAAATTCTTATAGTAAGTAAAGCTATCGAAGATTATATGGTTTCTAAGATCATATGTGTTATTGTTTTAATCGATTTCAAGAAGGTTTACAATCTTATAGATTGAGAATTGTGGGAAAAAATGTTTGAATATCAACGGAGAACATGGGTTGAGATTTGTTGAAGGTTGCTGAGTTACTTCATTTTGGTTAACGGTAAATTTTTTGTCTCGAGAGGTGTTAAGCAACTCTTTATACCTATTTCTAGTCCATATTCTTAGTATTCTATAGGACATAGTTGATGTTGGAGCAAAATAAGAAAAATAAGTTTCACAATTTTGTTCCCTTATGGTGCTCAAGGTAGCTCATACAAAAAAGAGAAGAAAAGAAAATTTTGTGTGTAAGAAGAAAAGAAAAGAAAATTTGAGGGGAAAATTTTCTAAGTTCAAAAATTGAAAACAAACCACATATTTATAGCCCATTTCTGGTTATTCAGATAGTCTCTCCCTGCAGGGTTGTGTCTTTCGATAAAGGGTATATCTGAAGGCTATGTCTTCACAACTTCTGTAAAATATATTAAAAAGTTTTATTCATGAAGCTTACTTTGATATTACTATCATCTTTTGCCTCAAGAGGACCCTTTGTAAATCTAAATGAAGTTTTGAAATTTTTTTTAATCAATTTCCAATCTTAGAATTTTTTTTTTATAATAAACAATGATTCATTCCAAAAGAAGAGGAGCCCAAAAAAAGAGGCATACAACCTAGGGGCATTTCCAATCTTAGAATTGATACCGGCTACACATTAACACATGTTGTATGAGCAAAGTTAATAATATCAACTCTTCCAAGCTTGATAGGTAGACTCACTTGGTGGGATGTGATATTACTTCATTGCCTTTGACATAATTGGGCCTTCTTTGAGAGCATAACCTTAGATTGTTATCTTTATGGAATCCAGTGGAAACGGTTTCTTTCTGGGTTAAAGCATTTTTTCCTGGGGGGAGTTACTTCAATCCAATATGTTCGAACTTCTAAGCATATTCCTCTTCTTTTCTCTATTTAGATTTCCCTCTTTGTTTAGTAATGAGCTTGAGAAAATTATGGGGGATTTTTTATGAGGGATGGAGGCAGGCAATTCTCATCTAGTTAATTGGGGCTCAACCTTTTCTAAGGTGTGCTAGGAGGGAGGTTTCGAGATTGTAAATTCAACTCAAAGAATCTCGCACTCTTGACTGGGCTTTCACAACATTTGCCTTGGAGTTTCATGCTTCGTGGTGTAAAATTATTATGAGCAAGTATGAATGTCACCCTACCAGATCAGTTACTACTACGGTGATTAAGGGCATGTTCAGGAATCTAAGAAAAGGCACAAAGTCTCCCTCGTTTCATCATACTCGTTAAATTCTCCCTTTGAATGTGGATTATCCCTAGATAATTATCCTTTGATTCCTTTCTATTTTGTAGAATTGGGATAACAACTTATCGATATACAATTTCCATATGAGACTTTATTTCCTTTAATATTTAAACAAAAAAAAAATATTGTTGTTTATTCTCTCAAAAGAAAAACCACCAGATTAATTTTTAAATAACAAACTGGTTGCAGTGTGTATAAGGGGCATGAAACCTATTTTGTTACTCCAAGAAGATGCAAATTAACAGGAACATAGACTGCCAACTAAATGGTATAGTATTTTTACCTCCAGAAATAAGATGCTGACGACAGATGCAGTTGCCAAAATTAATATTGAATGATTTAACGCTCAGAGGACGTTGCAGTGCAAGATGCTGGAGCACTGCTATCATTTAAAGAGTTTTCGGTGTTGCTGTCTCTTCTATTGTGGCCACCCTGCTCATTAGAATCTTGATTCGTAACACCATCCTCTCTGGTTTCAAGACGTTGCATCATACGTGATACACTGGCAATTCCTGCATTTACTTCTCTTCGTACTTCAGAACCAAGTTCTGACATGGAAGCATTGCGTGAGAATAGCCGCTCCTTCCACCCTCTTGTACTCTTTGAAATTGATTCTTTGTACCTTAAGTACCAGAAAGCTCTTAGAACAGCTAATTGTAAGGGCATCACCTAAATTCGTGCACATACAATCATGTATATATTCATATCATATGCTTATAAGTTGTAACTTCTTTATGCATGCAATGTGCGTGAGCTCAATGCCGAGTCTGGAAACTTCACCATATCCATCAAGAATTTAACACACAAAATTAGGCTTTTTCTTAACCCATACCTTGATGACACTGCATTAAGTCTTGATTTTAGAGAGTCTGAGAATGACTGAAATTCCGACGGCCCAGCTCTATCCAGATTTGGAGGTGGAGAATCACTAGTGGAGATTCTATGAATGAAGGATCATTATTTAAAAAATGCTTAAAACGAAGACGTCATGAATAGAATCATTTTGAAACAATTGTATACCGAATGCTAGAGGAAGCTCCTCGTCGATTGGCTGAAAAGTTAGATCCAGATGCTGAGCGAGAAACTTGATCGGTCCGAATGGATGCAAACTGTGGAATCTGCTGTGATGATTCATCCCCATGATGTGTTAGTGGGCTGGATGGGCTAGCCACAGTAATCCCAGCTGGCTCAGTGTCTCCTCCAGAGCCCGAAACCTGCCCAGAAGGAGGTCCACCAGGATGAGTAGAGAAAACCAAGAAGTGAGGACGTCCATGAGATGAAGACCGACCCCTCTGCCCTTCTCTTCTACCAATATGCTGTGTCCTCCCCATCGCAGCAGCTGCAGCCAGGTGTTGGATAATACGCTCTTCAAGCTCGGCATTATTAACACCTAGAGGTAACTGCATTAGAAGGAAACATCATCACCGATACTTTCTATATATTCAAAATCAAAACTTGGAAAGTGTAAAAGAAGGTAAACCGACATGTTGCAGCTCAATATTTCCAAGAGCTGGATGATGAAACACGGTAGTATTCCTCACTGGAGAAACCCGTATATTCCTCTCTCGTTCAACTGCCTCCAACAACTCTTGACTGTCACATCATAGATAAATAAACAAACTCCATAATATTTAAAACAGTAAGAACTTCAGATACATGATATGGAAGCTGAAAACTAAACCTGGTGGGATCCTTCAGGCTGATAGATTGCCAACACATAGGGCATTGAGAACTTCTTTGGCACCTGCATATCAAAAGATCAATTCAATTTCACAATTATAGTTTCTTCACCGGTCCTTATGAGCAACATTGTTGACAATAGCAGGTAATCAACGGCAGAATTATCTGATTAAGTCACTTCTCCAGTCACACGCGGAGGCGTAGCTATAAATTTTCTTAGGAATGGGCAAAATTTTGAAAATTTAGGGGAGAGGCAAATTAGAAAGAAGACTTTAAAATCTTAATGTTTTTATACAAATTTCTTAATCTAAGACGAACCAATTGTCCCTCTTCCTTCTTTCTTCGCTCCGCCCTTCGAAGTTCCAAGTGCCCACTACAACAATTCAATCCATAACCCTTTTAAGTTCAACAAATGCAAGGGTGAGGATCAAACCTTCAACCTCAGAAAAGGTAATAAGTGTTAATCCACTAAGCTTAGGCGCATAATACTCACTAAACAACTGTTTCTTGTCAGGTGTATGTAAAACACAGTCAGAATTTAAAAGAAGAACGCAACATTTCAAAAATAAAATCAATAATATTATACCACTCAAGGATGCATTGGAGGTGAAACTCATGCTTGCAACCAGTAACCTAAAGACAAGAAAACATAAGAATCATAAGAAATGTCAATCCAATCAATGTACCAGAGTAATGTTCATAATTAACATTCTCACTGTAGCCATAAATGGGTATTCTCTTTCTTTTTCCCCCTTTTTAGCATCAAGAAAAAGAAAGTACAATCAATAAAGATAATGGCTCAATCATTGTACCGTTGAAGGATCGCTTTCACAGAACTCCTCAAGGCATATACTGCAAGCATCATCACACGCATCTTGAATCCCCCCTTCCACAAATGCAGCGGCCGACGTCAAACGATTCTCAGAATCCATTTCTTCCTCCATCTCCAAAATCTAAACTATCAACACCACAATTATTTAAAACTCGAATTACAGAGACAGCCGGATCAAATCTGAACAAAGACCAAAACGATTCACAAGTTTTATTCGATCAAATCAGACAAATCCGATTCAACAGCTAGAACAAGAGTCGATTTCCCAATAACCTCAAAATGGTTGGTATCAAATTTCCCAGATAAAGAACAAAATTTGAAAGCAAAAGAGCGGGAAAATGGTGTCGCAAGGAATAAAAGAACGAAGATCACATCAAACAATCTTGAAAATAGCTTCTGGGTTTACCTCGATTAAGAAATTGGAAGGTTCCCAGAAGATGGGTTGAGGAATTCAACCGAAAAAACCCATAAAAAGCAGCAGATCAAGCTCCGAATTCCCCCTCTTCCAGAGAAAAAAGCCTCTGCTAGGGAAACATATCACCAAATCTCAACACCCCCAGAACCCACCGAGGAAGAAAGACGAAAAATGATAATCAGAGAAGGGAAAAAAAAAAAGAGAGAGAGAAGAGAAAAGCAAGGCACAAGACGAACGCCCCTTTACCTTTAATAATGGGATTGTTGTTGCTTTAACCTCTCTCTCTCTCTCTCTTCTCCTTTCTTTTTTGTTTTACTTTTTTTTCTTCGTTTCCCATTAAAAATCTTTTTGTGTGTTGGAAAACAAACCCACCAACAAAGCATTGGAGAGAACCTCAAAAGTCTCATCTTTCACACCCACTTCCATTATTCATCCAAATTTCCAATTACAATTTCAGAAAGAAAGCACATTTGATTCTTGATCTTTGGGTATTATTAACATTCTGTTTTTTTATATTCAAGACATTAATTGAAATTATTCCCCCATCATTTATTGCAAAATCATATCTCTCAACTCTTTTTCTATAATTCTTTTAGGACGAAGCAACATGTCTCAACCGTAACTACTGAGTTATGTTCATATTGACGTTTTCTATGAATTTTGTATAATCGATATTTTTATCTTATTATAATTAAAATGACCTAATTTGGGTGGATTTTTATTTTTTCGTATTTTTTTCCAAAATTAGATAAATATATTTATGGATAGGTAGATTTTTCAAATTATAAAGTGAACCAACAAAATTTGATTTTCCTTAGAGGTATTTTCAATCTTAACTAATTTGTATATAATACCAAAGGATATTTCTTTTATTGTGTTAAAATTTGAGATTTATTATGAAATATTGATTTGGGTTTTTTAAGAATGATTTAGGTTTATTTTTAATTGTATGGATATTGTTGTCTTATCAATATTTGTATGCTATTTCTTAACAAAATTATCATATTTGATTTCAGAAAAAATTGGATGAGATTAATACTACAATTAGTAGATATAAAAATGTTTTTTTTCTAGATTAGGCTTTTATTTATTTTTTATCTATATTAATTTCAAAATATGACACATTTAAATTAAGTTATTTTTAAAATTGGATTAATTATTATATATACATAAACGACAAAATGTTGTTTTTGTTTTCTGCTACTTTTCTTTTTTATTTCCAAAATATTTATTGTTTTTCCTAAACTTCAAATTTTTTTTTTATTCTTGCTGATATTTTACCATTATTGATTTTTCCTTTTTCCTTTTTTATTTTTGGCTCTTGATATGTATATTAAGGTTTTGGCAACGCAATATTAAGTAGGGCAGATGTTACTGAATAGAATAATAATAGCAATGACCGAAATAATTATATTTTAAGGATTTATTAAATTATTATTTTATTTACATATTTAGACAAAATTCACCCCAATATGAGAATCCATTATTTGAAGTGACATGTCAAGTAATTAAATATGTTAATAAAATAATAATTCAATAACACGTCATTTTTTATTAACAGATGTTAATCATTTCTCAACGGAGGCTAACCATTTCTTAATTTAAAATTGTTTTGGTCCCTGTATTTTTAGAAAATATCGTTTTAGATCTTTTGGTCTCTCCATTTTTATCTCATTTTTCTATCCCGATTTCATCACGACACTACCATTTATTAATAAATTTATTGAAATGTATTCATGACTTATATTAAATAGCTTCCATCTGGTGTATAGAATTTTACAAATAGAGACATAAACAATTACTTTTTAAAAGTAATACGAATCAACGTAAATTTTTTGAAAGTATAGAGACGAAAATGAACATAATTTTAGAGTAAAATGACGAAAATAAATATTTTAAAAGTACATGAATCAATCAGAACCAATTTTAAAAATACACCGGTCAAAATAGTATTTCAAATATATAATTATTAATGAAAAAAATATTAATAAAAATAACTAGTTTTAACATATAAAGCATTAGTAAATAATATCCATTTGAAAACATTCACCTGAAATGGCAGCCAATGATTGGTTTGACAATGCCAGCAATGCATGACTTGTCAGTGTCATCACTCACAAGAAAAGCCACATTTAGAAGGGAATCATATAAAATTTCCCAAATCAAATCAATCTCAATCTACCATTTAAATAACAACACATTTAAATTCTATTTTAATTTCAAACATTTGTGAAGTTTTGCAAATATTTTTTGTTCACATCCTCATATTTTAAAATGTGTTATATATTGTTTGATGTTTAAATTTTCTATAACAATTCAAATGGATCACTTCTTGTAGTTTAAATTATTATATTCGACATTTTTTCGTGTAAAGTGATACATTTTAACTTTGACATTGATATAAAAAATAGTGGTCTGAGAAATTTTTTTTTTTAATACAACAAATTGGGAGTACGCGAATTCGAACTTTCAACTCCAAATGAATTAGTAGTTACTCATTATCGTTGAACTATGCCCGTGTTGTCAATATTTATGTCTAATATACCATATAAAAAAATTCAACAATGAGAATCAGAATAACAGTAAATTTATAATATTTAATTAAGTTATTTTATATTTAAATACATTATATTTTTTGTTATTGGCATATCTCTACCAAAGAATGACTTTAAAGAAGAATTACTTTCACTTTAGTTTAAACACAAAAGGTAAATGAACCAAATATGTCAAATGGGGTGTGTTTGAAAATTTTCTAAAGCACAAGGACTATATTGAAAACATATATATGTTTCTTAGCTATTAGTGTACAAAGTTGTTGTGTCATATCATGTGAAAGTTTTATAGAGGAGGTAGTGGATATGGTTGAGGTGGAATATAGATATTTCTAAAAAATCATAAAAATTATTTAAATGGACAAATAAGCATTAATGAATTAAAATTTTCATTATTTATATTATGTTACATTACCCTGCCTTTTGGAACCTCTGATTTGCAAAGATTTTAAAATCGTTTCCTCTGGGTTAGTAAAGAAAAATGAGGAATTTAAAATCATAATAGAATTTGAAATCACGTTTCGTTAAAAAAGAGAGAAAAAAACTTTTCGTTTCATGTACATTGGATTTGAAATTAAAAGGTAACAAATTCCAAATTTATCCCCATAAACAATAGATCTTTCATTTTTTATAAAAATTTAATCACTCTACCTTTGTTTCTAGGTAAATTACATACTGTTGCCCCCTTCTGCGTACAAAAGATCATCATTCAATCAAAATATAGGTTGATTTTTCTATTTTTCTTCACATGTTTTCAATAGTTTTGTTTCTTTTAATTTCAATTTTTATAACACTAATTTGAGTTAAAGAAATCAGTTCCAAATAAAAGAGATTAGTAGTTTGATACATTTAAAATCTCTTTCATTTTTTTTTAAAAATATTTTTATTAGTTGAAGTATTAAAAAAAAGTTGGGATATGATAATTAAAAAAGATTAGGGAAAGTTGGATTGTGGTTTAAGTTTGTTTAGTTATAATAAATATATTGATTATTTTGATAATTCGTCTTTTAAGTTTTTAAAATATATATATATTTCAGGAGAGACATTTACCATTTTTTTTGTGTGTTCTGTTTTTTTAATTTCATTTGCAAATTTTAATTTATTAAGTTAATTTGATTAAATGATTTTATTTTTAATAGGTGGTTGACATTATTATTTCATATTAAAATATTATTATTATTTATTTATACAATATCAAATTAATTTGATTCCAAACAATTTCAAATCATTTCTATCTTTTGAAATCCTTAAATTTAAAATGATTTCTGTCCATTTCCAATCATTTCCATCTTTTGAAATCCTTAAATTTAAAATGATTTCTATCCATTTCCAAATGTCGAACGCAACCCTAGTTATATTCTATTGATTTTTGAGTGAAGGTACGAACACCTAAAATATTTGTCACATTTGCAATAGCAACATCTTTTGGGTTTGGTAAATATGACAAAATATTTGAAATATGATTTTTAATGTTTCCGTTGTTCCAATTTCACCCTTCTAGATTTTTAGATCTATAAATGTTATATCAAATCATATATGTATATCAAGTAGTATATCATTATTCAGTTCCAGTGCTCACTAAGGGTACAGTGGACTTTTGTTTTCTTCTGCATTGATTCAACCTCCAAATTTTGCCATTTTTACAATATTGGCGAAATATTGGCTACTTTCGCAAGTACCTATTAAATTTTCTTTCTTTTACCCGCACCCATTTTTTATATTTGTTAATTTTGTTGATATTGTAGAAATGTCGACTCATCTTCATATTAATGTCAAACACATAGATTAGACATATGGAAATGTTAACATATTGACAGAAATGTAATACCCGGATAATTTTTTTTTTTGGAAACATAAATATGGTAATAAAAACAAAAAAGAAAAATGCATGGCATTGGAAGGCAATGGAAGCACCTGAGGGAAACATTTTTGCAGATTGGAAAGTGACCCATGAGAGAGCTCATAGTGGGCAGAGGACTGCTTCTTCAATGCTTTTGCCTATGCTTCCAAGTACATGTAAGTTTCCCTATTATTATTGTGAAACTTTATGTTACATTTTTCTTTTCTTTACAAAAAAAAAAAAGAACTAATAATGCAATAGAATTATCTTGGTCTTATTATCCATTCATATTTGGATTATAATCTTAAGATTGTCGGGTTTATACTCTGTGTTGTTGCACATTTTGGATTCATGTGGTAGAGACTAATGATTTAAAAGTTCGAACTTGTGCTAGATTTGTGAGTCAAACATCCATGCTCTATAAGGTCTTAATTTTATTTAATCAAAGTTGAATGGGTTGGAAAGTTACCCTCTCATCTCAAGCGAATGGTCAAAACAGTCAATATGCGAACCAAAACTCATCCATGTCCATGTGAGTGATGTAATATTAGAAGAAGATAAAAAAATAATTAACTTGTGTGTTTCCTTATTATTAACATTTAAACAATCTTAATTTATGTATTTATAATTTTCATTTCAGATATCACTTTTGTTTCAACTTATTATATATAAATGATGTATGTTTCAATGTATATGTACCCATGATTTTTCTTATAAGGGGTTTTTTTCTTGGGAATTATACCAAATAAATCATACTTTTCTATAAATTTATTATATAATATATATCATAATGTATAAAGAAAATTTATATATCAAATTTTTAAAAAGAATGTACCAATTAGCAATATGTATTATTTTT